CTTTAACTGTTGGCAGTTCTGCTCTAACAGTATCCCCCTCTTTTTTTGTTTTTAGTTAATTTAAGCAAATTTGTTATTAATTGGGTGTGTCCTAAATGGCCATGGTGACCTGAAGCATTAGCTAGAAAGACACCTCATTGTAAGGCATTCTTACAGATAGACAATCTTATATGCGGTACTCGTCTCTTACGTTTAGTGTTGAAAATAGCCCCTCAGAGTTGTACACCGTACAACTTATAGTATATATGTGTGTGTGTGTGTGTGTATAGGAAGGTGGGACTGTATATACTGTTTGATTTTTAAGCATTAGTTAATTAACCATGGGTATCCAGAGAAGGGATTGGTCACCCTATTTCTCTTCTTTTTTTTCCCCACTCTTTGACTCGTTTTTTGTCTAATTTTGAAAATTCTGCTTGTTAGTAATGAAAGTTACAAAATGAGTAAGAAAATAATCATAAAAATCTGAGATCATTATTGTCCTTGTATTCTTTGAATTATTTTTGCTAGAATTTATTTGTCACATGGTGGAAAGAAGTTAATAGGGAAGGAAGAGTGTATAATGACATCAAGGTCTCTATGCTGGATGACTGAGTAAATAGTGATGCCATTAGCTTAAATAGGAAATACTGGTAAAGGAACAAGTTTTGGTGGGGAATATAATGAATTCAGTTGGGGATATGTAAGATGTGATTTACTTATAGGACAATCTAAATGTCTGTCAGGAAAAAGTTATATGGACAAAAGGCATAGATTTGGCAGTCACGGGCATGTGGGTAATAGTTGAAGCTAAGCGTCTTGATGAAGTTAGGCCAAAAAAATAGTGAGAGGTTCAAAAAAGAGGGCTAAAGTTGTAGCCCTGAGATGAGCCATAAACTATAAGCGATGGAAAAGTAGCCAGTCAGAATGGTGGAAATAACAAAAAGAAGGGATGCAGAAGAAATGGGTACCAGGAAAGCGATAATGTCAAATGTCTCATAAAGTTGTAGAGAACTAAAGATGGAAGGATTTGGCTATTAGGAAATTGCTTTTGATTATAACAGCCTTTAGCAGAATATTGGAACATATTGGATTGCAAAGTTAGAGGAGTGAATTGTGGTTGAATAAAAAAATGCACACTACTAGATGCTTGTTGATACTGGGAAGCAGAGAGAGTGAGAGAGTAGTAGTGGTAAGGGAAAGATAGAATCCTTCAAAGGAATGTATCAGTTTTAGAAATTTAAGAATAGTTTTTTTTCTAGTGCAGAGGGGTTGATTAAGAAGGGTAGGAAGAGAGGGCAATGACTAGTGAAGTCACATTTTATGGTGACTACATGAGGCCACATCTCAACTTGCTGAATAGAGCTATTAAGCCTGGTACGATTTCATACTGGTAGACAACAGCTACAAATTACCTGTTTGTGCTTAACTCTTCTAAAAAATTTCGCTATTGTCTTACAGCCTTGTTCACCATTCAGAACAGATTAAGGAATGATACTAGTGTTTTATATTTCTCATGTATTTGTGATATAATTATTCCTGTGGATTATATTTATTTTAACAGGTGTTTCTTATGGACAAAGCAATAGTGACATTGAAGCCCTACATCAGGCTTATTGTCATATAGCCCATTCTTTGGAAGATGCAGAGGAACAAAGAATTGAGAGTAATGTGATGGAAAATATCAAGAGTTCAGTGAAAGATCATCCTCAAGAAAATGAAGAGTCTTCAAAAAACATCTCTACTACTGAATCAGGTAAAAGCTGATAGATAGATATAAACAGATAGATATACTTTTCAGTTATTTGAGATGCTCTCTAAAGAGTTTTCAGTATAGTATAATTTAAATACAATTTGCTGTGGTGAATGATTCTCAGTCTCTGAACTTAATTAAGCAGTTGTTTAAATGAAGTACAGGATCATTGGTTTAACTATAAAATTAGAGCCAAAGACAGACTAAAATTGCAGTTCCTCCAGTGTGCATGGAACAATTAAGATATCACTTAAGCTGACATTTTTTACTCTTTTGCATGTACGTATGTTAAAGTTGTTGGGTTTTTTTTAATAGAAAATAGTATTTTGAGATAGACTAAATACATACTTAGAAAATGTATGTGTAGATATTCTTTGATATTTGATATCAATATTCGAGATATATATTTGATATATCTGATATTTGATAAATATCAAAGGAGGTTTTTCTGGTACAAGCAAATTTACTATGGGAAATTAGGTTTATTGCCTGTGCCATTTTGTTAACTATGTCAGTTAAAGAAAGTGTACTTTTGGTGGTATTAGACATGTAAGTTAAGTAATTTATATGACATTTTTGGTTTCTACTTTAATTTTTTTCCCCTCTTAGATCTGCCCACAGTAGAAGAGCTGATGAAACCTATCAAAATCGATTCCTTTGGGGTCAGTGGTTTTGATTTACAACCTGTCAGGTATGAGTTTTCTGGAATATATTGTAAATGTTGATTAGTTGGTTGAGTTTTTATTTGTTCATTGTTTTGTCCTTGGAAACTTTTATGATCATTTGCTCGATGTAATGATTCCTACTGAATGATTAATAACTAGTATCAGCTTATATGAGTCTACCTGTGAGTCATTGCTCTCTTCTTTCTGTTTGTCCGCATTCAATTAATTTGTCAAAATTCTTCTAGAGCTAAAAGAAAAAAAAAATAGATGCTACTAAAAAAGTTACTTCCATTACGTAGACCTTAAGCTTTTCACTGAAAAATACAGTCTCTTCAGCTTTAAATAATAGCACAGGGGTAGTTGATTCACGATGAGGAGGAAGGTGAATTTTATTCTGTGTGTGAGTCATAGATTTGCTTCTTTAGAAACCAGTTAGTTATAACTTAGTCACAGACTGGCTATCATCTCACAGTGAGTACTGTGGTCATTAAGAGAAATGGGCTTCATGAAAATGCTCCTCCTCCAATGTAGTTTAGTGGCAGTATGTACAATCCACTATCATTCTTCAACACAGAGTAACACATCACAGTAACCTTGTCATAAGACAACTTTGCATTTGTGTAGCACTTAGAATGTCATGTTCAGTATCTCATGTGATCCTTATAACAAGCAGAACAGGCATCTTTATCCCCATAATTCAAGAGATGAAACTGAAGTAAACCCAGTTTAGTGGTGGATGATAACAGCTAACATTTGTTACCTTTACAGTGTTGCAGTAACTGCGCAAAGTTCTTTACGTGTATTATTTCATTTAATAGCAACTCCATGGGGTGTAGTCCATTATTATCCCTATTTCATAGACAAGAAAACTGATGTTTAATAAAAGGTTAAAATAAAGCCATTGCCGAAGGTCACATGGCTATAACAAGGGAACACAGGCAGTCCATGTGTTTAACAACTTATGTTGTCAGATCGTTGATATCCATGAAATATTTCTGTGAAATAGCCTGTCATCCATTCATGTAGTCATTTGTTCAATTGTTTTTTCAACATACATGTTTTGAGCTCCTTATACTACATCCTCATCATGTAAATCTACTTGCAGTGATTTCTTGTTTCTACATTTCTGCTAGTTGAGAGAAAATGATGCAATGCAGCTGACACGAAAATCCATCCACTTGAATGCAAAGTCTAGTATTCTTCCACTGATCTGTAGTGCTAATTAGTATTTTTAAAGGTAGATTGTGCTCTCTTATTATTGCTGTTTGGGGATATGTTAGTGTTACTGAAGAGATTTTCTTAAACATCTTGTGTCTTTGCTGTTACAGGTAAAACCATTTTAGCAGTATGAATTCTAAAACATAGATTTTTGCATTTGTGTTTAAAGGCTGAAAACAAATATCCTTACGTTAAAGGCATAATAATAATTATGGAAATGTCAGTAATAGTACCTTTAGTACACATATCTAAAAAATCTTTAGTAAGCTGTAGGGTAAATAATCGTAGCAGCCATAACAGATAATCTTTGAAATCTTAGTAGCTAAACATCATAAAAATTTATTTCTTGCTCACATTACCATCCCCTGTGGATCAGTGGAATTGAGGTGGGGTTGTGCTTCACACAGTAATTTAGGAACCCAGCCTGCTTCTGTCAATAGCACATAGTTTGAAGGTTGTTATAGCATCATCCAACCAGTCAATAGGGAAAGAAAGAGAATGGTTTAGGCTACTTTCTTTTAACTGCTTCAACACAGAAAGAAAAGTAAATGAGTTTGGTAGGTATCTGGTCAGTCTCTGCCAGGATATACCCTTCTAATAACTAAATATCTATTTCACTGTTCTTCATACCCAGCCCCACTTATCCCCTCCCAAAGCAGACAGCCGAAGTCCCATTCAGGACTGTATGCATCTGAAAGGCCAGGATTTCCAGGTGAAGCACAGTCCTCTCCATCAGATGTGGGTGGGGCTCCTTGTCAACTACCAGTGGATGAATCAAAAAGACAAGTTCTATGCTTCCTCACCTCCACCTAATATGTATATAATGGTGGAGCTGCAACAGATACTCCCGTTTGGGAAGGAAAGGCATGAGGAAAATAACAGCAATGAGTGTTTCAAACCACTAGAAAGACTTTGTAAAGATGCCCCCCTACCTTGGGGATAGGGATTTTCCTTAATTAGGCCATTATTCTGTTCTTAAGGAAGAACTACCTTATAAATATATTATTCTATATAGCACCTGGTTCCATTCCTTGGGGTATTTGTCTTGTATTTTGTCACGATTGGCCACAACTGTGAAATGGGTTTGGGGATATACCCATCTTGGGGGATATACTTCTTTTTCAGTCTACTTCTTGCCTACAGGTAGTTTTGAGGTTCTCAGTTGCTGGCATTTGGGGTATTTTTGTTTTAAATAGGGTATGGTTTCTTTGACATTATAGTTTAGTAGCCTTCTGATTTATTTGATTCCAGTTAATTCCACATGCCAATAACCAGACTTAAAGGTCTGTACTAGACAAAAGTTTTGAATCTGCTCCATGTCTTTGGTTCTTTGTCCCTCTGTTTTTTTCTTTCAATTTATTTTCAGCTGTCTGGATATTTTGGGGAACAATAGCCTTAAGTGTAAAGATGACACCCTTAATATGATCTTTACCAAGGGACTTCTGTTACTGTGAAAAAGGAAAGAACTATTTCATATTTCTGATGTTTCCAGCTACTTTAGAAGCTTCTAACAGTTACTAAGAAGTCATTCTGTGTAAATTGGAAATGGTAGCCTCTTAAACTGTTCTTTAATCTTATTTTATGAATTATAAAATTAAATGGCCCAATTGACACAGGATTAAATAATTTGAGAATAACAATTCCCATATTCTTGAAACTCCCTGTAGTTTGCTAATATTTAATCCCATTTAGAACATTTCTTTAAGATGTATTTTCCAGACTTTTAATATTTAATTGTCTGAATTGTTAACATTTCATTTAAGTATTTTAAACCACAGAAATGACTTTATTTTAAAATCGTAGTGATTTTTCTGTTTTACTTTAAAATTTTTGCTATATTGTGATTAAATTTGTGCCTTTTATAATAGTATTTATATTATATGCTTCCTTGGCATAAATTATG